ATATCCATCCCTTAAGAAACATAAGTCAAATACCCATTCTTACATGCATTTAAACATAAGTCTTTGTATATTACAAACATAAGTCACGAACCTAAGTCACCTATGTAAGATAAGACCTTCAACAATTCAAATCAAAATGAGATTTTGCAATTATAAGGGAATGTGGTGCAATCTTTCTTAAGAAAATCGGTTCAGGTATGTTAAGATTATCCCATCTTTCCTATTTGCCATGATCCATACGACACAAACGAAACAATCAAATGCACAACTTCGATAAATGACTCTATTCATAGAAATGCTAGAGATGCTTATATTCTTAATTTCCCATAAGTCTTATTATTCTATCGTCTGTTCATGGATCTCAGAAAATATGTGAGTTTATAAAGTCTATTTCATGATATTAATCAAAGGCATAATGGTCTTATGACACTCCGAAAGATTTTATTGACGTACTTCTCATGCATTGCATTTATTTATATATGTACATTGACCCATGACGAGACGGTGTTATATACGCGTATATATATATTTAGGATATAGCAATAGGTTACAGTGTTATATACATACCACCACCTGATCAGCTGGTATACATTAATAATTTTGCCAATAGTGGCTGAGATGATATGATGGGATGCCCTCTGAGGCTTGATGATGTTATGAACATATGTACCTATGCACGACATGACATTCATATACATATCATGACACTATAAGTATTTCATGATTTACAGAGTTATCCAGACTTACAGGTTAAGTCATTCACTCTATATTTCTTTTATGTCTTTTATGTACTTATTTATGTGCCTTACATACTCAGTACATTATTTGTACTGACATCCCTTTTGCCTGAGGACACTGCATTTCATGCATGCAGGTCCCGATAGACAGGTCGAGAGCCCTCCAAGTAGGCTATCAGCTTAGTGAAAGATGTTGGTGCACTATATTTGCTCCGGAGTTGCTTATTTGGTCAGTATGATTAGGACATATATTGATTAGTATAGAGGGGGCAAGTCCCGACCTTTATGATATTATGTATTCTTAGAGGCTTGTAGAAAAATGTCATGTATATGGATACTTGTATGACCTTGTCGGCCTATGTTTTGAGTGCATAAAGGTTCATGCCGGCCTTATAGGCCCGTACGTCATATGTATAAGTTTAGATTACATGTTGGGTCGTCCAATGTCAAGTATTTCCCCATGTTTTATTCTACTTATCTCACGACAGTCTCTCTAGCTCATTTACCTATGATAGTATGATACGAAACATACGTTATGTAGGTACTCGGTTGAGTAAGGTAACGGGTTCCCGTTGCGGCCCATCGGTTTGGGTCGTGATAAAAAGGTGCGTGATTTATCATTTATCATAGGCGAGAAGGTTCTCTTGAAAATGTCACCGATGAAGGGGATTATGAGATTCGGTAAGAAGGGCAAGTTGAGCTTAAGGTTTATAGGCCCATTTGAGGTGTTGAGACGAGTTGGGGAGGTTGCTTATGAGCTTGCCTTACCTCCCAGTCTATCGGGAGTTCATCCGATTATCCACGTGTCTATGCTCTAGAGGTATCATGCCAACTTGTCACATGTGTTGGACTTTAGAACGATTCAGTTAGATGAGAGCTAGGGTTATGAGGAAGAGCCAGTTGCCATTGTTGATAGGCAGGTTCACCAGTTGAGATCCAAGAGGATTTCCACGGTAAAGGTTCAATGGAGGGGCCAACCAATCGAAGAGGCGACCTGGGAGTCCGAGGAGGACATGCAGAGCATATATCCACACTTATTCATCACTCCAGGTATGATTCTAAACCCTTTCGAGGATGAACGTTTGCTTTCTAGAACCCCGTTCCCCTAAATAAGACTTCCCGTATGTACTTTTACTATTTTATGACTTGCGTGGATGGTTAGTTCGGGATTTGGAAGGGTTCAGGTTGAAATCGGAACACTTGGTCCCTTAAGGTTGGCTAAAAAGGCTAAGTTTGACTTTGGTCAAAATTTTGAACAAACGACCTCATAATCAGGATTTGATGCTTCCAACAGGTTTGTATGATGATTTCGGACTTGGGCGTATGTTCGGATAGGGGTTTGGATGACTCAGGAGCATTTGGGTGCCTAATAGTGAAAATTGATTCTTTGAAGGTTTTGAAGTTTTTTAAATTTGGTTTGGAGTACGTTTTGGTGATATCGAGGTCCCAATGGAATTCTGAGATCGGGAATAGTTCCGTAATGTCATTTAAGACTTGCACACAAAGTTTGGTGTCATTCCGAGAAGTCTAAGTATGATTTGCGCGTTCGGAGCGACTTGAAAACTTGAAGTTCATATTTTGATTTAATTTGGTTTTGGGGCGTGATTCTTGATTTTGTTGTTGTTTTACGCATTTTGAGAGTTCGAGTAAGATTGTTGGTGTAGTTGGATGGGGTCCCGAGGGGCTCGGGTGCGTTTCGGACCGCCCGGAGCAAAATCTAGCAAACCAGATTTTCCAGTTCTGGTTTCCTTCTTTGCGAACACGGGAGGGCCATCGCATTCGCGAAGAAGGATTTGGGACAGAGGGCAATTGCCCTTCGCGTTCGCGATCAGCACCTCACATTCGCGTAGCCTTGTGAGCCTAGGCTTATGCATTCGCGTAAGCTCCATCGCGTTCGCATAGAAGGGAGGGACCTGGGGAGGGGTCAAGGTCAGTGCTCTTCGCGTTCGCGAAGATGCCCTCGCGTTCGCGTAAGATAAGGCTGGTAAGCCTTCGCATTTGTGGTTCCTTGTTGCATTCGCGTAGGCCAAATCTTCATGGGCTGGGCCGTAGCATTCGGGAACGTGAGGCATGTTCTGCATTCGCGAAGAAGGAGGCAGGTGGGCAGAGAGTTTTAAAATCGGGACTTAGCCATTTTGGGTTCATTTATTGCATACTTGAGCGATTTTGGAGCCTCAAAAAGTGGGATTTCAACCTAGCTATTAAGGGTAAGTAATTTCTACCTAATGTGAGCTTAATACATAGATTATTGATAGATTTTAACATGTATATTTGTGAAATTTATAGGTTAGATGGAAAACCTAGGTTTTTTATAAAAATGGGATTTAACCACGAAATTGGTTACGGAATTTAGTGAAAAGTATATATTTGAATTCATGAGGTTATGGGTAACAACTTTTTTCAAAAATTTCCGGAATTCGGGCACGTGGGCCAGAGGGTGAATTTTAGGGATTCTTCAAATAGGATTGTGAAATCACTTTGTTAGCTAGGATATGAACTTTTGAGCATGTATTGATGATTTTGTATAACATTTGACTAGCTTTGAGTCGTTGGCGCCAAATTTGGGGATTTGAGCTCAATCTTGGACTGAAAAGTAGGCTTTGAGACGAGGTAAGTCTCTTTTATAACCTTGTAAGAGGGAATTAACCCCATAGGTGAATTAATTAATATATACTCACACTACACTTCTGCACTTAAATGTGCAGGATCTGAGGAAAGTATATCTAGATATCAGTCTGGCGCGCACACTTGATTACTACTTCGAGACTTCATGGTGAATTGTCTTCCGAGCAGTTCTACAGCAGTGGAGTCTTTCTTTTGCTTATATTTTTCTGTCTATTTCGCTTCAGACAGTAGACTAGTATTCTTTTGTATATTCTACTATAATGCTTATACACTTGTGACACTAGGTCTTGTCACACACTAATAGACTTGTGGTTTTGGTTTTTTCTATGGTTATGATTGCACTCAGTTGATTTCATGTTATTTATTCAAATATGTTAATTCTTAAATCTTTTAAATTAAGGAAAGTCTAATTACTTGGAAAAATCTTTTAAAAAAAGAAATCACATGGTTAGTTCACCGTTGGATTGTCTAGCGGCGGCGCTGGGCGCCATCGCGACCTATAATAGAATTGGGTCGTGACGCTGAAACTGCTTTTTCTTCTTCTTTTGAAAGTGTATCCCCTGAAGCATCTGACCATACAGAGACTGGTCTCTCTCAATAATCTTCACGATCTAATTGCCTATATCCTCTAGCTAATTATGTCTGTTATGATTTTCTTTCACCTGCCTACAGGTCTTCTCTGGCTGCCTACTCTGTTATCTTTGAGCCTAGGTCTTATGCTGAGGTTTTTAAAGATCCACTATAGGTTGAGGTAATGAAAGCTGAAATATTAGCTCTTGAGGATAATAAGACCTGGACTATTGCGGATTTGTCTTATGACAAATTCCTTATTGGTTGTAAATGGATATTCAAAGTCAAGTATAAATCTGTTAGTGAGGTGAGTGCAATTCTAGACTGGTGGCTAAGGGTTACAGTTAACAAGAAGGGTTGAATTATAAGGCGACATTTTTCCTTGTGGCTAAGATGGTTACAGCTATATCAGTAGTTGCCTTGGCTGCTGCATCTCGTTGATACATCTTTTAAACGGATGTTCATAATACTTTCTTGCAGGGTGACTTGGTTGAAGATATATATATGCATATTCCAGATGGCTTTTCAATCCAGGGGGAGTCCCAGAAGGTGTGCAAGCTTCACAAGTCACTATATGGCTTGAAGCAAGCTCCTAAGTAATGGAACCTAAAGCTAACAGAGGCGCTTATAGAGATGAACTTTGAGCAGTCACACAATGACTACTCTTTATTCACCCGAAGGGTGGGTAGTGATCTAGTTATCGTCCTAATATATGTGGATGACATTTTAATCATTGGGAGCAGTCTAGTTCTTATTCAACAAGTCAAAAAGGGCCTACAAGATTGGTTTAAAATTAAAGACCTAAGTGTGTTGAAAAACTTCCTAGAAATTGAGTTTTCTAGCTTTGAGAATGGTATGCATATGTGGCAAAGAAAGTATACTCTTGAGCTAGTGTCAGAAATGGGGCTAGTTAGAAGCAAGCCAGTAGTCACTCCACTAGAGCTCAACCATAAACTCACATCTGTGTCAATTGACAAGTTTGTGAACAGAGAGACATCTAGTGATGACAAGTAGATTGAGGACTATGGTGCCTATCAAATAATAGTTGGAAGATTGCTATACCCGATAATGACAAGGCATGATATTGCTTTTGTAATACAAGTGTTTAGCCAACATATGCATGCTCCTAAGCAATCACATTTAGAGGCAGCTTTAAGAGTTGTTAGATACATCAAAGGATCACCCGGACTTGGGTTGTTCATGCCTGTTGCCAGTGATCAAAATTTAGTAGTATACTGTGACACTGATTGGGGAGCTTGTGTTGAAATTAGAAAATCAGTTACAGGTTATGTAGTGAACTTTGGTGAAGCACTAATCTCCTGGAAATCCAAGAAGCAGGAGACTGTATCTAGAAGTTTTGCTGAAGCTGAATTCAGAAGCATGGCTTCAACTTTTGCTGAGATGACATGGTTGATTGAGCTGTTTAAGGAACTAGGAACTGAGATAGAAGTTTCAGTTCAATTATTCTGTGATAGTAAGGCTGTAATCCAGATTGCAGTTCATCCTATCTTTCACGAAAGAACAAAACATATAGACATTGGAACACATCATATCTAGGAGGACGGATATATACACATCATATTGGAACTAAAGAACAACTAGCTGATGTATTCACAAAGAGACTTTGCAAACCACAACATGACTATCTGGTGATCAAGCTGGGAATGAATAACTTATTTTCATCTCTCAGCTTGAGGAGGAGTGTAGAAGAAGTGGGGGCCACTAGCTGAGTTAACTTACGCGGTTAGTGGGTTAAAATAGACACAGTAGCACAGATTTGTATATATGACAATTAGCATTAGTCTATAATAGCTTTTTCTGTTTTACTAGAAATTAAACTCATAAATGAAGCACCAGTTATCTTCCTTCTCTTCTCTCTGATTTCTTTGCTCGCCATAATTGAGCTCTTAACATATATATGTATGTCTGCTATTTGAATGCTTACCAAGTCGACCAGGAAGTCGTGAAAGCATATATGAGAAGCCACAATCTGGATGGTATCCTAATCTTGTTTCAGTAGTCGAAAAATACTACAATATCAATGAAATAAAAGTTAGATACTATGATAAATATTCCTCTTGCGTATGAGATTAAAGTCAAAATTGCTTGTATGTATATAGTAATGGACTTTTTAGTGACAACAGAGTACTTCATTGGCACCATTAAAGATCCACCTCCCCCATACACGTTCCATGAACAAGAGCAATATGTAGTATATCAACAGTTAAAAGGGCAAATTCGTTATGACATGTTAATTTTACGTTTGATCATTCAACTTAATATATTTATAATAATAAAGTGACAAAGTACATTCGTTACATTAAAATAACTGATCTTTATATACTATTAGTAAATTCAACAAATCTTACTAAGTAATAGTAAAGTCAGAACTATGTTTTATCACATTAAAGTAACTGGATTTTTTCTACCAATACAGTCGCTAAGCTTTATCTACTAACTATATATGATAGACTGTCAACAAACCTATCCATCAAGGTAACATTATTGTTTTAGTGGATAAATTTACTACTATTATAATGCGTAAAGTTATAAAAAATATGTGACAAAAAATAATTTTGTGACCTTGCAATTACAATTACAATGGGTAATGTTTAGTTACTTTGATGCGACCAATAATAATTTGTGACTTTGCTATTATAGTGATAATGTTCAATTACTTTAATATGACAAAAAATTATTTTACGAGTTTACTTTTATGGTGAATAAAGTTCAATAATGTCAAGACCCAAATCATAACCTGTCGTGATGGCGCCTAACGTGGTACTAGGCAAGCCGACATTTCCGAATTAACTCTAACACTTTTAACGGAAAAGGTTTTAAAGTAGTTTAAATACTAACTTCTCATAACAAGATAGAAAATCCAAAACACAACGCAAAAAGACTCTCAAATTGAGGTGTCACAGAGTACATGAGCATCTAAATATCACAAGTCTGGAATACACTATCTATGATGGTCCGAAACTAAATACAATTAATGGAAAGATAGGGAAGGAGAAAACAAGTAAGGATTGCGAACACCGGGAAGCTACCTCGAAGTCTCCAAAGGATCAACTGTGCAGAGTATCAATACCCATCGTGTCCGGAAATACCTGGATCTGCACACGAAGTACAGGGTGAGCGTGAGTACAACCAATTCAGTAAATAACAAGACTAAATTAAGAGCTGAAGATAGTGACGAGATACATAGTTATAGTTCAATTTCAGTAGTCTCAACATATGAAAGTAGGCATGCTTTTAAATCCGGCAATTTAGGTCAAATTAGTTTATACATGTCAAGTTCAAGTAAAATAGGACGTAATGTCTCACAAAAATTTTAAAACAGTGATATATGACACCTAAGTACAACAATAATGAATTCAAATGCATCCGCTCAGAGCAACAGTCATTCAGCCCTCTCATTCACTCCAACCTCATAATCACTCATTTCTCACAGTCATTCATTCTTCTCAGTCGCTCAGCACTCGTACTAAGTAGGTACCTGTGCTCATTGGGGGTGTGTACAGACTCCGAAAGGGCTCCTTCAGCCCAAAAGCTATATCAAGCCAATCATGGCATATAATCAATGAAACATGTTACGGTGTGCAGTCCGATCCCACAAATATACTCACAATCAGGCCCTCGGCATCACTCAGTCATCAACCGCTACAGTCTCTCGAGCTCTCAGAAATCATGAAAATCAGCCCTGATAACTAAGGATTCTAGTTCATTTTACACTCCTTTTTATTTGAGTTTTGATTAAAAATGTACACAAATAGTCCCAAAGACTTATATGTTATGCTTGTTTGCAGGGTTTGGTCAAAAAAGCGACAAGTAATCAAAACCAGCTCAAAAAAGAGTAAAACATGCACAAGTACCAAGAACAAGTCAAAGTACAATTGCAATAGACCCACCGCCGCAATCCATATAGTGTGGTACGCGGTGAGGAGATTCAGAGAAGTGTAGATTTTGGAAGCTCAAGCACTATAGCCGCAATCCATTTTATGCGGACCGTAGCACCCTCTTCGCGGCCGCAATCCATTTTATGCGGTACGCGGAGAGGGGATTCAGAGAGTTGATAGTTTGGATGATGGAAGCCAGTGCGGCCCGCAGAGCATTTTATGCAGACCGCAATGAAGCCACTGCAGCCGCGATGCATTTTATGCGGCCCGTGGTGGCCAGATTCAGAGAATGACAATTCAAGCCAAAAAGCCTCATTACGGTCCGCGATGCATTTTATGCGGACCGCAGTACCTCCGTTAGGGGTATTTTTGTTCAGAAAATTCGGCCTAGTATAAATAATGACAATTCAAGCCAAAAAACCTCATTGTGGTCCACGATGCATTTTGTGCGGACCAAAGTACCTCTATCAGGGGTATTTTTGTCCAGAAAATTCGACCTAGTATAAATACTTTCTTTTACATTTTAGGGCATCTTTTGTAATCAATTAGACTCCAGAGCACGTGAATGATTGTATTAGACTATTTTGAGTAATTTTGTAGCTAGTTTAACATTGAATCTTTATTTCTTAGCTTGTAATCAAATCATATGGGTTATTCTTCCACTATTTTTTTATTTTCTTCTATTATTATGAGTAGCTACACCCATTATCTAGGGTTGTGGCTCAACCCTAGTGTGGGTATTTGATGGGTCTTTTGTTCTAAGGCTTAGATATTTATGGGTAGTTGATATTGTCACACCTCCTTTTTACCTACACCCCCGGGAAGGAGTGTAAGTGGAGTTTTTCCAATTAAAGAACAATCGAAACGGGATTATTTATTTATTAAAAATCAGAGTCACCACTTGGGATAATTTATGGTGTCCTAAGTCACCGGTTCAAATCCCGAATCGAGGAAAGGATTGACTCTGTTTAACAGTCCGCGAACCAGAAATCCGAGTAAGAAATTCTGTTAACCCGGGAGAATGTGTTAGGCATTCCCGAATTCTGTGGTTCTAGCACGGTCGCTTAACTGTTATATCTGGCTTAATTATCTGATTTAGAACAGTTTGAACCTATGTGCAATTCTAACTTTAAACGCTTTTTGATTAAGAAAATTATCTTGAAACGGGTCACGCGTGTGAGCACGTGATTTTTGCCTTACGAAAACTACTCCAAAATAAAATCAAAAAATAAAATAAATTTCTTTTACTGTGTAATTTTTGAATTTACGTGGTATTAAATATTTGTGTTATGACCATAAATGTTTACTTTGTCATAAATAAAATGAAAAATAAAATA